ATATAGGGTTATTATGTATATATTCTTGTTTAGTTACTAATATTCTCAATAAACAACTTTTATGTCTTATCTCAAACATAACTTGATTTAAAAATATCTAAACATTGTATATTTCAAATTTAAGAATTATTTTTTTCTACCAGTTTCAGCATTAAACATAGTTTTGTGGGGGTTTTTATTGTACTTTAAGTTCTGGAGTTCATGTGCAGAACATGCATGTTTGGTTACATAGAAAATTGCCTCATATTTTTAAGTGCTTACATACCTAGTACATTTTCAGAGTTGCCAATTCATTCCCTAACATTTTCTAATAAAAATCTAAAACTCTTCTCAATTGAGAAAGGAGTGGCATTATCCTGTTTTCACCCTAAGAGGATTTCATGGACTGCCATGTGGAAGGCAGACCAGAGGAGGACAAAAGATTATAAGGAATTATGGTGGTTTGAACCAGAATGTGTGATGCAGGTGTTAGGACATGGTGAAAGAGGTATCTCTGAGAGAAAGAGAAGAGCAGTGTCAAGGATGACTCCAATTGGAAATAAAAACACAGGAAAATGGGGGTACAGATGAGCAGAGAGATGGTCTAAGGGGAACACTTGTTGGTTTTATTAGTAACAGTTGGTTTTATTAGTACAGATTTGTTCAGTAGTGAGAATATTTGTTAGTTGTATTTATTCCTGTTTTCCTCAAAAAATGATGCAGTAGGAAAGAGGACAAGTCCTCGGAAATGCATGCCCACTCTCTGGCCCCGAGGCCCATAGCATTTCCCCTCGTATTCCACTGGTGAGAAATGTCACATGGCCACACTCTGCAAGGGAGTCTGGGAAGTGTATTTCAACCATGTGTCTGGGTATAACTCTTTTGCTGTAGAAGACTCTAAGGAGCACATTTTGGTGGACATCTGGAAGTATCTGTTTTCTAAATACATTATTCACTCATTACATTGAGGGCTTATTTTATGTCAAGTTCTGGCTATATTCTGGGGAGTCTGTGAAATAACTGTCAGATGTTATATGTGTTATGGTAATACAAATTTGAGAACTGTTACTTTGAAATCATCCAACTACTTATTTCCTGACTTCCTACTTAAACCCTTGGCAAGGAATGATTTGCATTTCTGGCTAAAATTACCTACCCAGGGAAGTATGTAGCATAGAGGACAAGAAGGTTATCCTGAAATCAGATCAAGCTCACAGTAAAGTAACACACTGACAACCTGATTTACAAGGCAGCCTTATGTGAATTTCTCCACGGGGAACCTGGCTCACTCCTGGTCAAGTTGACAATGAAGTGTCAGGACTGGAGATGCTGTGGGCCAGACCTGTGTGACCACAGGCAGCATTCTGCATGCTTACCTGCTTGCCTCCTCCCCTCCTTCTTGTCAGTTCCCAACAGTCAATGACTGTGAGCCCCGAAGGCATTCTTTTATTTGAGAGATCTGTCCTTTAGTTTCAATCAACTATTCACATTACATACACACGTAATGTATTTCACTGGCAAGGCTCTGCTGTCTTGACCTTATAGACTGTAGAACTCATTTACCTTGTCATGATTGCACAGTGAGTCTGTACTTCAGTGACTGTTCCTGCTATCATAACTTCCCTTTCTTCTCTGCCTCTTTCCACAACAATAAGGAGATAAGACGAAAATGTAGAGTTAGCAGGCAGCACTTTCTCTAAGCTCTGTGTATCCCATCCCCTGTTCAGTGCAGCTGGCAGGCGATGGGTTTCCTAATGGTAGCTTGTACCTAAATACAGTGTTTAAAATGCACAAATATGTGAGTTATTTCTTTTTTCTTTTGCTATTGTCTCTGCTTTTCTCTATCTTTCTATTAAGGATACATACATGGCTTTACATCTAATTTGCTTCTGTCCTATCAATGTCCCATTATCTTTATGCAAATGCCAATGTGTAATTATTGTGCATGCTACCGTTTCCAGAAAGTCAAATGGCAGCTACCCAGGTGTTTCACAGGGAGGTACCAGAAGACCTGGTTCCTCTCCAGGAAGCACTGTTCAAATGCCCATCTTTGATACCTTCTCTTGTGAATTGAGTCACCAGCAGGGTCCTTCATTTTTTTGTGCTTATCTTCTCAGGGAGACCACACCTCATTGCCGAAAGAGATAAAGATAATCCAGATTGCTGTACCCATCCTGAGCCACACAAATTAAATAAACCATCTGCTAACACACAAGAAAAGACTTACGTGCACAGCATAGGGTGGTAAGTAACATGTTTAGACTCCAGAGGGAGACACTTAAAATCTAGATTTATTCTCTACACAGTCTCCAGAGAGATCAATTTAAAAAGATAAAGTACAAGGTAAATTTTAAATGTCTTGCCATGGCATACATGTCTCTATTGGGCCAAGTCCATCTGCCCCTCAGCCTCACTGTTATGGTATGTCCCCCTCCCCACCTTTTCCCCAACCACTCTCCCATGTTCTATATCCCAATACTTGGAACAAAGCAAATATTGGTTGAATGAACGAAAATAATCAATGTTCCTTAAATTTGTTCTTTTCCTCAGCCTCGCGTGCCTCTCCCCCAACCTGCATCTGGTTTACTCTTATTTGTGAAGACTTCATTAAGCCGTGTCCTTTTTGTCACCTGGGATGAGCAGGGATTCACCTCCTTGCTTCTTCTGTCATTTTTATCAGGGTTACATTCATCACGTCACTCCATAACTTTCTATCTTCATGTTTGTTTTCCTCACAGGTTGTGAAATCTTCATGGGAAAAGATGGGATTTGATTGTCATTCAAAATGCAATGACTAATTCAATGCCTGGCACATTGTCCGGTGAATGAACTTATTAACCCATAATGAAATGTCACTACAAGAGAGACCAGAATATTCTTCTTGGCAGTTGGTAAGCTCATTCTCTCTCCAGTAGATAAATTTGCTTGGGAAATTTAATGGCTACAAAAAATTACTGGGTGAATATGAATCAAACCCCAAGGGAGCTGGACAGCCTTCACGGACATTTTTATTAAATTTAGTGAGTCATCTTTCTCTTTCTATAATAATACGTTGAACCTGTCAAGCAGAATGAAATGCCCATTTCAGAAAGCATACCTCTCCCATGAGGAGTGCTAGATACATCCTGTGGGGTTCTTCACTTGCCCTAACTCTTACCCAATAGGAATGGACATTGGTTATTATGACTGCTCCAAAGCTTATACTTTGGGAATTTCTAGATTATGAGTTTTAGCTATAAACCCCCCTTTTAAAAAAAGCCATAAAGCATCCCAAACCTAGATTTCCTTGAAGCTTGAAACAGGCATGTAGCTTACATTCTACTAATCAGACCATACTCATCCAGGCTTGGATTTGGAAATGAGCAATGTGGAAAAGCACCCCTGTGCGAGGACACACATGTAGCAAGCATGGTGGTGAAGACTTTAGCTCATCAGGGCGGAGCTCCTCGTTCCCAGTCCCCTGTGTCATCTGGACATAGGTTAGCTGTGGTGTCCTTACTCCTGCAACTGTTTGGGACTTTCCTAAATGCTTGGCTTTTCTGACTCACCTGGGATTTCTCTGAGTAGCTAAAGGTCATTTAAAGAAGTTATTTTCTGCCTACACCGGACAGGATAACTTGTTTTTGCAACAAACATTCCTATTCAACACCCATAACCTTACTGTAGTTTCACCAGCCATTTCCAGAGACGTGTTGCATTCTAATTGTTCTGAGGAAGTCTTCTGTCCAGAATATTTAGATCCTTTAAGTAATATGGAAGTGATTCCTTTTATGATCTTGCTCATTTTTCCTAATTTCTGTTGCTTCTCTCATTTACTAACCTCTCCCACCTTTTAAAAAACCATTTAGCCAGGATAGGTTAGTGAAAACACAGGTTTTAGAAATGCAAAGGACTGTGTGTGGGTGCTGGCTCTGATATTTATTAGTCACAGGACCTTGGACATTTTTCTAACCTTTCTGAGCCTTCCTCAGAAGATGTGGAAACCGTATTAATCCTGCAAGATTCTTGTTAGAATGAGACAAGGCCTGGCATCCTGACTGCCATCAACAGGAACTCTTATCAGAGGGCTCTGGTCAGTCTCGACTCAGTTAACTTTGAAAGGCATCCAGGAAGACCAAGTTTGTTTTTCTTTTACGTTAAGTTTTCCTGTGCAAGGCTCTGTAATAGTTTCCCTACTGAAGATATTTATTGCCTATTGAGTTAATTCTCAAATTCTTACTCTGGAATTAAAAATCTTCTTTTACTTGGTCCTATCTTTCCTGTCCAGCCTCATCTCTTATAATCAGTTTGTAAGAGCCTTTCGTATTCATGAGCTCAGCCCCTTTATCCTCACAGCAGGCTGTGTGCATTCCCACTGCTCCCTTGTTCCTATTCAGGGGATGCCCTTTCTCGAGCTTGACCCTTCCTTTCTCTCTTCCAAGCTAAATCAAACCTTTCTATTGAAATATATTGAATGTATAACATTTTGTATCACGTATGCATGCAATACAAACACACACATAACACATTGCATATATTGCACGTGGTGTAACATTCTGTATGCATAGCTCAAGAACTTTCCTGAGCAAACACTGTGATTTCTCACCATATATTGAGCAATTTTGATGCTGACTGCTTACATCAGGAGTCCTTTCTATTGCCAGATAAATGCTTTACATGGACTGTCTTTGAACGCCATCAGGTAGGACCTAGTATTTTACCAGTTTTGCAGTGAGGCAACAGAGACATAGAAAAGTGAGCAATAGAATCCATTAAATTTAGTCTAAAGTCACACACAGCAAATGGCAAAGCCAGGATTCAAACCCAGGCAATCTCACGTTAGAATCCAACCCCTTAGCTACACTGCCATTTCTTCCTGTTATTTCCTTTTGTGCCTGGTATAGAAATGATAAAAAGAAACAAATCAATTTATTATGTAGAGCATAGTGAACACAGGGGAGAGAAAAATGAAGTGAGGTTGGAGGCCTGATCAAGTGAAGCCTTGAGGGCCATGATCTTAATGCCACCACCAGGGCCAACTCCACAACCACCACTGATAGCGTGCCTGGCAGCAAGGTCAATAAAACAGCAGCAACGTGCAGCGCACACACGGTCCCCAGAGACCAGTGTCGGGGAGCATGTCCTCCACTCCTTCCTGTGAAGGACATCATTGCTTCTCTGACAGGCTACTCAGTTCAGTCCCTGCTTGAAGGAAACCCTTAGAAGTTGTTATGTTGGGGTGGTAGTGTGGCTCAGCGGAAGCTTCCCAGGATTTGGAGACTGAGGACATGTGTTTCAGTTCCAGTTCTTCCTCTCGTTAACTGTGACATTTGGGCAAGTTTCTTTGGCTCTTGGAATCTTAGATTCCTTGCCTACAAGGTGATCATACAAATGTCAGTATCACAGTTGTGAAGGTCACATGAGATAGTGCACAGCTTTCAATTGTTTTTTTAAAAAGTGAAGGCGTGGTTTTTATAAACATGAAAATTACTTTCATGTTCATAATCTTTAAATATCTTATCCCCTGTTTGACAGTAAGAGAAGTAATCCTCTTTCTGCTGTATGAAAGAGGAACATACACATCCAGACTCACTTCCAGCACTAAGCTGAGATGTTTCAGAGACACGTGACTTCTTAGAGTATACAGGAAAGGTAACACCCTTATACGGAAATTTTGGGCTAAACCCTGAATTATAGACTTTATTTGTGGAACTAAGTAACACATATGACACATCTTTCTCTAGGTGGCTCGGACCCATGGTGATATTCTTTAGGATAGGAAATTTTTCCATTTTGAGTGGTAATTATAAACTCTGATAGTCTGAGTCATATAATTATTTCATATTCTTTTAAAAGGGTTTTAGTGCTTTTGTGTATAACATTTGTCTTGTTCCTTTTTGATAATATAGGCTAATAAAAATTATTGATTCAGTAGAAAAAGTTTGCTTTATAACCAAAATTTTCAAAGTTGAAAAAGAAATCAGACACTCACATTATTGTTATTTCAATTTTAGCATGGAAATGAACCACTCTCCCTGGGAAATAAAAATGAAATGGTTTTACTTTTAAATTTCAATTTAAAATAAAATCCCAAATTAGTTAGCCAACGATATAATTTACATCAATCTTTCCCTTGTGATGATCAGATGCCAAGTGAAGTCTTTATCAGGTATCGCTAATGTTAACTAGCATCAGGTGGCATAATTCACATATAAGACTTATTCAAGGAACTGGTTGCAAATGAGGGTCCCTGAGGAGAAAAGTTCCAACCTGGCTCATTCCTTTTTAATAATATTAGCTTCTGTTTCTATGGAAACTGCACAACCTGTTTTACTGTTTGCATAAGATGTCTTTAGATTTATTTAAATAGATTCAAATAGTTAAAACTAATAGAAGCATTATGTTTGGAGGACAATATCACATAGACATTTTCACAGATGAATTAACAAATCACACTTTATTGCAGGAAACTATGCTTATAATATAAAGTGCCAATTACTACGCTTTTGAATTTCTGTATGTTTCTAAAATACTAACATTGGAACTCAAAGGGGGAAATGATTGTTTAAAAATCACTTGAATAAATATACCAAAAGAAAAATGGGCAAATCATAAAAACCAGTATATGTGTATGTGTGTATACATAACACTCTTTCTCTATGTAAATATCTACAAATGGCAAAAATGTATATTCATATAATAGGTATATTATATAAAAATTGGTGTATTAGTATATTATATAGAATATAAACATTATATAAAAATGTATTTAGCTAATAAATATAAACATATATTCGACATCAACAGTAATCAAGAAATGCAATTTATAATGATAAAATATCAGTGCTTACCTCTTGATTAGCCAAGATGAAAAAGAGTGAAACCCAGGGTGGGAGAGTTGTGAGGAAACAGGCACAGGATGGGAATGTTATTGGGAAGAATATAAATTGCTGCATATTTGAAGGGAACATTGACAATAAGTATCGCAATCCTTAAACAGATGTAATACAGGCGAGCCACTTGGCCCAGACGTTATACTTTGGGAACTGTTTTTCTTTTTAAGATGGAGTCTCACTCTGTTACCCAGGCTGGAGTGCAGTGGCACAATCTCGGCTCACTGCAGCCTCTACCTCCTTGGGTCAAGTGGTCCTCCTGCCTCAGCCTCTTGATTAGCTAGGACTACAAGGAAGCTTACCTAGGGATTTATAAGGAGATAGACTAATAAGGAAATTGATCATAATATTATAATTTTATAAACCTCAAAATCTAGAAAGAAATAAAATGTATGCCACCAGGAAATTCTTTCCTTTGGTCACACTCCATCAGAGTGACACACGTGCCTACTTTTACTCCTCAGTGTTTCTCTAGTTTCTCGTATAAGGCCTAGATGCTCAGTAATCATTTGTTGAATGAAACTAAGTGATGGTATCAAGCTATAGTTAATTACTGCAAAGATGTCCCAGATATGTTAAGTAAAAAAAAGGTGACAAAATAAAATATAAAATGTGATTATTTTAAAAATCATCACTTTATGTAAATATGAATGAACTCTATAACAATATACCCCATAATGACTAAATCAAAAAGTGATTGAGAAGTAGATTGTGAATGTGAGTTTCAGAAATACCTTAACTGCTGTACTTCCCTCAGATTTTCTGTTAATACAAAGAGTGACATATAAAACACAAGGATGCCTAAAAACCTCTCAAATAGTTCTTTCAATAAATATAAAATTAAAATTCTATTCAGTAAAAATGGTATGCTGTAATTCAGTGGAAATACTTTCTTCTTTAGAATAAAAAAATGATGTGTCTAATGATGTTATAGGTTTTATAAAATATGGTGCTTCTACATTGAACTATTACAGCAATATTTTAGCTGGTCTCTTTGTCTCCTTTCAATTTTCTCACTGATTCACACCAGATTAACCTTCCTAAGCAATCACATGATTTTATTTGCCTTCTCAAAATTGTCAATGTTTCTTCTTTGAGTATAGGTCAAGACGTTATGGATGTTTGTGCTCCCCCAAATTCACATGTGGAGGCCCTAATCCCTAATATGATGATATTTGGAGGTGGCAGTTTGGGAGGTAATTACAATTAGATGATGTCTTGAGGGTGGATCCCCTATGACAGGATTAGTGTCCTCATAAGAAAAAGAGAGGTCAGATCGATCTCCCTCTCTCCCTCTCTCTCTCTGTGTGTGTGTGTGAGTGTGTGTGTGTGTGTGTGTGTGTGTGTGTGTGTGTGTCTTTGCCATGTGAAGACACAGTGAGAAGGTGTATGTCTGCAAACCAGGAAGAGGGCCTCATCAGAAACTTAATCAGCTTGTACTTTGATTTTAGACTTTCTGACCTCCAGAACTGTGAGAAATAAATTCTTGTTGGTTAAACTCTAGTTTCCCAACAATTTGTGTTGGTCTATGGTATTTTGTTAGGGAAACTACAGCTGAAACTAGATCTAAACTCTTTAACAGGGCCCACAAAAAGCATTTCATGATAGAGGCTTCCTGAGTTCCTTGGCCATTCCCTACACACCCAGCAAGTCTATCGTTCTATACCCAATTCTCTTGACATACCCTATACCTTTCTACTTCTGTTCCTTTCTTTTTAAATGTTAATTTGCCTATTCATATTCCAGACCCACAATCCCAATTTTTGCCTGAGGAAATCCTACTCTTGTTTCAATATCACCACCTCCATACGGCTTCCTAGATTGTCTTATTCCTTAACTGAACTTTTTTTTTCCTAGGATGTCATTGTTGGAAATTGATTATAGTACTTATCAAAGTCAGCCATATTTAACTGTTAATTGTGAACATATCTGAATCTAAATCATATCTTATTTTGCATTCTCTTCTCTAACCCTTCACCTGCCCAGATACAAAGCATAAGGCTAAGCAAATACATACTGAATGTTTTTCAAGTGCTGGATTAAACTCTTCTATCAGAGTTCCAAGCCTAATGTTAAAATCTATTTAATATATTTAAAAATATGTTTTCTTCACAAAGGTAATACAGTTTGAATCTTCAAAATCCTTTTTTCAGATTGAAGATTTCTGTACTTGATTGAACACAGGTGACTATCAACACAATCACAACAGTAATTGTAGAACTTACTATGTGCTAGACACTGAGCTGAACATTTACAAGCACCATGCCATTGAATTCAGTAAGATCTCTCTTGTCTAGATACTATCTCCATTTCACTGATAAGGAAACATGTTTTGAGAGTTTCAAGTAACTTGCCGAAGGTCACTGTTTTCGTCTGTTTTCTGCTGCTGTAACAGAATACCACAGACTGAGTGATTAATCAACAATAAAGTTTATTTGGCCCACAGTTCTGGAGGCTGGGAAGTCCAAAAGCATGGTGCTCCCATCTGACAAGGGCCTTTGTGCTATATCTTCCTATGGCAGAAGGTTGGAAGGGCGAGAGAGTGTAATTAAGCAAGAGAGTAAGAGAGAGCCAGAGACCAAGAGGGGGCCAAACTTGCCTGTATAGTAAGCCCTCTCTGGCAATAACTATCCTCCTCCCTTGATAATGATGTTAATCCATTCATGAGGGAAGAGCTCTTTTGATCTAATTACCTCTTATTAGATCTCACTTTCCAAAACTGTTGCACTGGAAACTTTTCCAACACATAAACTTTGGGAGACACATCCAAGTTACAGCAGTCACCTTCTGTAAAAGCAATAGAGTCAAGTTTAAAACCCAGTCTGTCTAAATGTAGTCTATGCTCTTAATCTCCACACTATATTACCTGGTAATACATGTTTTTATGTAACATTTTACTTGACATTGTGAAAAATCAAAATTAAAATAAACTTAAAAAACAAGAAGCTACTACTTGGAACTATCATTTGGAGCAAACCATCCTCACTGTGCCTGTTTGGTTAGGGCTGACCCCTCTTAGATTGTGAGTATCTCTAACTGTAGCATGGAATGTCCTTGTTACAATGCTCTGATGTTCTCAGATTAATATACCATTATAGAAAGATATATGGATTTATTATTACTTCCTTTAATTATTGCATAAGTCAGATTCTCCTCTGATATCTGTTTGCTTGAAAATATGTCACATAAGAATATTTTCCTTAGATTATTCTAAATTTTGGGGGGTAAAACTTAAGACTGAGAAATCTGAGACTTGGATGACAGTGCCTTTATAGATACATAAAGACAAAAAAAAGTCTCCATGTATCATTAAATGAAATCAGATGAAATTTAAGTAAGTGAATAACACATTCTACAATAGAGAAGAAAGCATGGACTGTTTAGGTAAAGGCATATGCAGGAAAGCAGGATGCCTGTGGCCTTGCAAAGCTGTATCACCTGCAGAGTTCTAGGTTCAAGGAAGTAGGCTTTGCTCCAGATTGGATGTTGTCAGGAAGCAATTCTATGATTGGATATCTTTAATAAATTTTATCTATATGGCAGGAGAAATGAAGTAAGGCTAAAGGTATAATTGATAAGCAGCTTTCATATCAGCTAAGGTAGAGGATGCTTAATAATTTGCGTGGTTTGGACAATATTCTTGTTTTTGTCCAGGTTCAGACTTCTGGAAGTGTCTTGATTTTGTCATGATCCATCAAAGTAGTACAGGGTGCTTGACTGATGTGGGTGTTCTGTGAAATTGTGTTCAGCAGGACAGCACCACAACCTAGCTCTGAGTGTCAGGCCAGTATCTAACAACCCCAAGGTTTTACTGATAGCACCAGGCCAGCTCCTGCCTGTCAAGATCTGGTTTTTCTCTTCTCTTTTTCAGATCCTTAACAAGATTTTAGTATCATTCAGCAACCTCAGAGACTACATCTCTCCCGACACCAATGACCGTGGCCTTGAATTCCTTGCTCAGTGAATGTGCTTAGCAAATACTGGTCGGAGAGTAATTTCTCCTATTTCTCTGGCCAGCTTGACTTTAGGGTGACATTTGGCTGGATAAACAAAAATATCTTAAAATAACATAAATCTAATTTTAAATCTGCTTGGGAAATCATAAACCATTAGTAAAATATGTTCTCTTGGTTCTAAATATACTACTTTTTCAGTTTAGTTGTCTTAATTAGCATAATTTACCAACACTAAAAATAATTTCTAGAACAAAAGCCTGTGAAAATAGAAGCAAAAGAGCTCTTTTCCTCCCCATTTTAGAGCTCAATCCCCCACAACTTTACTACAAACACTTTAGAAGACTTTGGTGAAATACTGATCCTGATTTAAATCCTGAGCTATTTTTTTATTATTGTCCATTAACTATTTGGAATTCCTACCATGAAAGTACAGTGCTGAAGAGGCATACATTTCTCTTGTTTTCAGCCTTGACATTCTTACGTGATTAGCGTTTGACAGATGAAACATACAATGCCTAGGATGACCTTGGTAAAGACAATAATCACAGCTTATCACATGGTTGCACTTTAAAAACCTCACAATGAGGAACGGTCACCAGAAAATGGCGCTCCCTGTTATCAGGAAGATGAGTCAGAAAAAGAAAGGACTTCGATAGCAGAGGCCATTCACTCACTAATCAATCAATCCACCACACAATTTAATGTCCATTCATGGAATACCAAACCTGAGCCAGATTCATTGCTGTATGCTGGAACACCAGCGTAAGAAAGAGTAGAGCTCCTTCTCTCATGGAGTTTACTGGGGTAGGTAAGGCAGACATGCAAATTAATGTCTGCATATTGCAAATGGAAGTCCTATAAAGGAAGAGAACTGGTTTCTACAAAAGCATAGAACAGTGGGACCTGAATTAGACTGTACTTTCAGGGAAGACATTATTGGAAAAGTGACCCCAGAGTTAAGAAAGGGGAGTAGGTGAGACACTCGGGGGAAGAGGGAAGGGAGGATGGCTGATGAATGTTTCAGACAGTGAAAGAACAGAAAGGAAGGCTTTGGGACAGGCATGAGGAGGGTTTGGGTCCTGGCGTGGACTCCCTGGAAACAGACTCTGAAATAGAGATTTGTGGCCAGGTGTTTATCGGGTGTGCTTTCATGAATAACCCCTGTAAGGAAGTGAGGGAGCTCTGGAGTTGGGGTGTCCTTTGATCTGCCTAAAACTGAGGCCTCTGTAGCTACTTATGGACCAATCTTCTGTCCTGAGGTGGGGGCATGACCTTGGGAGAACCAGGTGAGGGCAGTTCCCACAGTGGGACTCAGGTGTGAGCTAAGCAGCTTAAACTCCCAGCAGCTGGGGGAAATGAGTGCCTTGGGCTTGAAGGGGGAGCTGGGTGGGATGCCACAGAGGGCTCTCCTGCTTCCTGACCTGTGGGACTGTCGGAATGGAGGTCGGAGCTGGAAGGTGAGTGAGTGGTGGGACAAGAGTCTGGAAGTGGGAGCAGGATCCACACAGACAGGGCCTTGTAAGTTTTCTTTTATTTATTTTTTTTGAGACGGAGCTTTGCTCTTTTTGCCCAGGTTGGAATGCAATGGAGGGATCTCGGCTCACCGCAACTTCCGCTTCCCGGGTTCAAGCGACTCTCTTGTCTCAGCGCCCGGGTAGCTGGGATTACAGGCGCGCACCACCACGCCCGGCTACTTTTTTGAGTTTTTTTAGTAGAGAGGGGGTTTCTCCATGCTGGTCAGGCTGGTCTTGAACTCCCGACCCCAGGTGATCCGCCTGCCTCGACTTCCCAAAGTGCTGGGATTACAGGAGTGAGCCACCGCACCTGGGCGGGCCTCATAAATCTTCTTAGGGATTTCATCTTAAGAGCTATAAAGGGGAATAATATGGATAAGGGCCGGCATGGCTTCAAGCGGATGATGCATATCCTAAGCTGCAGGGCGACCCTCCTCTGTTTCTGTCTCCTTTGACATTAGCTCAGTGACTTGTATTAATTGCTCTTAAAGGTACCCACCTTCACTCACTTTAAAAAAAATTTTTTTTTTTTTTTTTTTTTTTTTTGGAGTCTCACTCTGTCGCCCAGGCTGGAGTGCAGTGGCACAATCTGGGCTCACTACAACCTCTACCTCCCAGGTTCAAGCCATTCTCCTGCCTCAGCCTCCCGGTAGCTGGGATTACAGGTGTATGCAACCATGCCCAGCTAATTTTTGCATTTTTAGTAGAGACGGGGTTTCACCATGTTGACCTCAGATGATCCGCCTGCCTGGGCCCTCCCAAAGTGCTGGGATTGCAGTCATGAACCATCGTGTCTGGCCCCATCTCAGCATTCTTGGTTGTTCTTCTTCAGAATTCCCAACTCAGAAGTCAGGCAACAATATAAATAAATGAGAGAATTAAGCATGTTTGTGGCTGTGGACTGAAAGATGCTTGCTCTAAGGGTATTCAAATGCAAATGTTTAAAAAAACTCTGTGCAAGATGTGCTGTATTTTATTGGCCATTTTCTCAAATGTACCATGTAATATAAAAACTTCCTTAATCACATGAAGCATGTTACTACGTGAGGCTGTCATAATTGGTGTCAACTATGTTTAATTAGAAAGATTTTGTGTTATGTGTAGCTATCTTCTGTACCTCTATCATCCCTACCTTCAGATGAAAGGGCATGTATAATACTAAGCGGAAAAATCAAGTTGATTGATTAAAAACCTCATGACATGGCTGATAATTACATATCAACCATGCACACTTTGTGTTTAGATGTTTGATTTGATCTTTGATGCTGTCATTATGAATCAGTCTTCCTGCTTTCACGCTCTAGTGTGTGATCCTTCAGAAACTCCTAAGAAGCAGCGGAAATGATTCTTGCTCAGCTTCTTCCCCTGGAACAATGAATCATGGTAATTCATAAAAACCAGGGAGAGCTCTTGTCTGACAGTTTAATAGCTTTCCTGTTAGTCATTCAGTGTAAGAATCTAATTTTGAGCCTATTCATTTGTGAAAAAAGGTCAGTGTAATTTCCCCATAGCTCCTGTGGCCTCCCTCCAGAATGGGCTGTTCTCCATACATGACAGTGATGCTGGTACCATGTTGTGCAAAGTTCATGCTCTGAGTGTTTTTCCCCACTGAGTGCTCATCCTAGATCCAGATTCACAGGCACAAAATCCTCACCTGGAAATCATTCCAGACCTTCAGCTCTCTCCCTCACAATCAGTCATCAATCAGCATGTCTGGCCACTTCTGGGGCAACTCTCTTCTCTCCATCTCTTCTGCCTTCACTGTAGAGTGTACCACCATCAACCCCTGGCTTGACTTATGTACCCCTCTAATTCAGACAGGCAGCCTGTAATTGATCCCGTCAGAGGCAATTCCTCCAAATAAAAATCTGATCAGCTACTTCCCTTGTAAAATCCCTTTAGGGGCTCCCATCACCCTAGATAAGTGCTTATAAACCAGGCTAATGTACTCTCACCACTTCTATCTCCATGCACATTTCTAGGTTCCATTGTAAAAGGAGACTGTCTCATCTGTCTGTAGGAAAAGTCTTCCAAGTGAAAAGATAGCCTAGATATTTTAGGCTATTTGTCCACCTGGAAGCTTTGCAGGAAGGGCTACTCTTTAGGGGAATAGTCCTGAATATTTCACTCTTAAATTACCTTTCCTCTGCATTGTTGAGAATAGTGTGAATCATCTCTCATATGAAAGGGCCTGTTGAAATTATATATTTTAATTCGATGAACCCTAATACTGTATTGATAATGATAAACATAATTGAAATAAAATCCCTAACTCTGGGGAGATTAAAATCTATTTGTGAAATAAGACTGTTAA